AGTGATTCTAGGACTGCGGCTAATTAGGGCTTGCGTTTATACTTCTAACCCTGGCTAGTTATTGTTGTTTTGGTAATAACATGGGACGTATGCTCGTATACGTAGCCCGGTAGGTTACGCGCACACTAATGATTACAGACAATTGCGCGTTAATATGTCACTAATAGTAGAAGCTGCGGGGAGAAACTGGTTTGGATTGTGAGGCGTCCGGGCGCTTTTAAGAAGCTTATAAATAGACGCTCGGGGAGACGGAAGATAGTTACCGAGTTACAGAGTTACGAACCGAGTTACGTGAGTCATTCAAGATGTAGCCGTGTAGATTGTAGCGACGGCAACAGAGATGACGGGACCTGGCTATAGGTTGCCGTATGTATGTATATATGTTGTATGTGTTGAGTAAGTAATGAAGTCCAAGTAAAACAACTAATCTGCGACAACGGCTCTACCTCTGCTATCTACGCTGCTGCTGCTAACTTCTCTACCATTTGCTGACGAAACAACGCTGCGACCTTCTACGCTGTCGACCTACGAGTACCCGAAGTCATCACATTTTCGCATTACAATACATGCAAGGTTTTCTTCCTATTTCTTAAGTGAGGTCAACTGATAGAATGTTATCATATAAATCTATGCCAGAATACCTCCTCTTTATGTTAAACGCAAAATTTCCGCGATATATTCTTCTTCTCGGGAGATATTGCGCATGCGCGATCACCGTTTCAGGCGAGCAGTATGGACTGAAGAAAACTGCATACTATAGCTTGCTGAGAGAGAGGGTAGAAAACTGAGGAAAGGCGGCATGGAAGATACCTGAGGGCGGTAGAAAAGGAAGGAAACTGAGTGAAGGACAAGGGATGCAAAGGGAAGAACGGGAAGGCAATGAAGTATATGCGTTTTGCAGCCTACAGGCGTGGGCGCTCTCCTAATTATAAACGCAGGTCCACTGATAAAAATTTATTACATAAATCTATGCTGAGATACCCCCTAATCATATTAAATGCATATTCATCACAAAATAAAACAACTCTGGTGAGATATTGCGCATGCGCTAACACACTAACGCAGCCAGATTGTGTACTGACTGGTATATGCAGAGGGCACCTTTCATGCAAGGTCTTCTTGTTGTTTCTTAATTGAGGTCTACTGATGGAATGTTATCATATAAATCTATGCCAGAATACCTCCTCTTCATGTTAAATGCAAAATTTCCGCGATATATTATTCTTCTCGGGAGATATTGCGCATGTGCGATCACCGTTTCAGGCGAGCAGTACGGACTGAAGAAAACTGCATACTATAGCTTGCTGAGAGAGATGGTAGGAAACTGAGGAGAGGCGAAATTTATTTGAAATTAATAGACACTTAAAGAAAATCTTGAGTAAAGCCAAACAACAAAACGATAACTACCAGACAAATTTGATAAGTGAAAGAACAAGAATAATAAACAATATAATAGGAGTACAACAACAAGTGGAACGAAAAGAGAAACTCTACACGCAATTAGGAGAACTAAAGAAACAGGAAGGGATAAATTCGGGAGGTTTCTGGAAAATACGTAAAAGAATGCTACCAAGCAAGGAAATGAAGGCATCCTGTT